TACAGTAGTAACACTTTCCACAAAAAAAGAAAAAAAAAAAAACATATATAGAGAGAGAGAGTTAATGAAAAGAATTATCATCATAAAGTTCAAGTTTAACAAATGAACAGTTCAGAACAGTGTATGTCTTTGTCTATAAATGAGCTCTTCTGTGTTTTGATAATAAACTTGATGTTGTTATGCTTCTGTATTGTGTAAGTTTTTCTTAATATACTATTTAAAGAGCAAATTCCATAAAATCGAGATGTTTCTAAAATGCCATGTTGAAGTCAGGACTGTGTGGGAAGCCTGGTTTAGCTGTAAACCTACAGCACTGATTGTTGTTCTGTTCTCTTTTCTCACAGAGTTTATCGAGGGTGTTTCACAGTTCAGCGTTAAGGGGGACAAAGAGCAGAAGCTTCGATGTAAGTAAAGCTGCTTCTTCGCTTAAGTCACATGTAGCCATGGGTAGTAGAACAAGTTTCTTATCCTCAAGCACATCCATTTGTTTTGTTGCTTTGGGAGTAAAACCAGTCAGGGGCTTTGTCCCCTGTGACTCCCCTCTTCTGTTTGTCTCACGTCACCTTGCTGCTGCAACACAAATTCCCTTGGGGTAGTATGTCCTTTATAGTGCACAGTGTTAACCTTTTGGGTCACCTTTCATGAGCTAGTCAAGTTTTCTTTTTTAAAAAAAGGGAAAAAAACAACCATTTAAATATTAAAGAAGAGTTAAAGACTATATATAATAAAGGCTGATTGGTTTAGACTTCCAACTACCTGTGCTTCTGCTCCCTCCCCTCCCCATGCCACTCCCTGCACCACAGTTGCTTTTAGGATCTATGACATGGACAAGGATGGCTACATCTCCAATGGCGAGCTCTTCCAGGTTCTGAAGATGATGGTAGGCAACAACCTGAAGGACACGCAGCTCCAGCAGATCGTGGACAAGACCATTATCAATGCAGACAAGGACGGAGACGGCAGGATATCCTTTGAAGAGTTCTGTGCAGTAAGTCAAAGCCCTCCTGGGGTATTTTGGGGTGGTGACATTTGTGCTGATGCAGCCTAGTATGTTGGAAGCAAATGTCAAAGGGGCGGAAAACTCTGGAAACACAAACACTTTTTGCTTAGGCTCAACGGCATTGGGTTTCAGTTTCACACTTCCTTGTTGAAATGTGGTGTCAAGGGCTGTAAACATAGCCTGGTGTGTACTTACGGCATTTGTAGGAGGATCTGTGTCATCCAGCAAATTTAAGGTCGGCAGTGATGAGCGTTATTTGGTTTGTAAAAGCGCTGACCCAGATCAATATTCTCATTGCTGTCGTACTGATATGCATAAACTAACTAGAAAGTATGTGGCTGTAATTATCTAATTTAAGATCACAGATGCAAATGAAGTTCTCTCAATACAATTAGTGTCATCTTGTTGAAAAGTGTGATACACCGACTCGTCTGTTGTCGGACCCCAGTGGAAATGGCTTTGCTCTGAGACATATTCTAAAATGAAAGACTCCACTTCCAACTGACAGACATGAGCCCCACATTTGACAGCTATATCTCTGGAGCCATGAACTAAAATGGCTCTGTCCTCGTGGGAGTGTATTTTCAGAGTGGTGCAGGAGAGTATTAGATCAGTTTTTTTTTCTTACCGAAGCAGTGCAGCTCAAACACTTCAAGGTTCAAGGAAAAGGCTCCATGACATGATTTTATTCTTGCTTTGTAGTATTAGCAACACTGTTGTGTAAAAGTAACAACGGAAGAGAAAGTGTGTAAAAATAAGAGAATAAATTTAGTAGATTTTCTCAGGATGCCGTTGATCCCATTGTTACATTTCGGCATTTCCACAGCAGTGTTACAGCGAGAACTTGTTGTTGATGCGGTCACTCATAGTGAAACTGACATGCTTGTTGATGGTTATGTGGTGAATGAAACGTTACCAATATGAAATCACTTTACAATGAGGTGAAGGCCGTATATTCACAGGTAATGTACAGTAATCTGTTTACCCTCTGAACCAACATGTTTATTTTTAGTCAGTTAAAAATACACTGAGTTGTTTTCTCAGTATATAAGGTCATAACAGGTTACCTTTTAATGGCAGTAATAAAAAGATGACAACTTTTTAAAAATAGCAGTACCAAACATTGGTGTTCTTCTATTGTGCAGGTCAAAATGTTTTTAAGGGGCCGTCTTGTTTGGGCATGGGTGCCTTAACCTGAGACGGATTCTGTTGCAGGTCTCTTCCTGGTAAAAGGGAGTTCTTCCTTTCCACTCTTGCCACATGTTGTTCATCAGAGATGATTGATTGTTAGCTTCTTCTCTAATACTTTTGGCTTTTTACTGTTGAACGTAGCACATATCAAAATTTATTCATAAATTTTGCATATAAATATAAAGCTCGGGTGCTGTTGTTGTGAATTGGCACTTTATAAAGAAAACTAAACTATGTGAACTTTAATGCTTACCTCCACAGCACTAACAGCACTCTATTAAAGATTTTCTTTTCTATTCCTTCCTTTCGCACTTTCATCCAGGTGGTTGGTGGCCTCGATATACACAAAAAGATGGTGGTGGATGTGTGAGCGCTCTCCGCTTGCTGAATCCCCCCCTTTGTCCTCGACTCTCGCTTTCTCCACCATCTCTGAAGATCTGCTCAAGACGTCCGGCAAAACGCTCTCTGTGTAAATCAATGGAAGTATTCGCTCTCTTTCTCTCTTTTTTTTTTCTTTCTTTTCTCTCTCTTTCTCTCTCTCTGTGAAGCCACTTTTTCTTTTTGAGAAAAAAACAAAACAAAACACAGGCCTCGTGAAGCCAACTTTGAAGTGTTATTGAACTGTAAATCCTCTCAATAACCCGGTCGTAGCACTTTAAGAGACTGAAGGACATCTATTTGTAATTCGCAAGAGCATCTCCGGTTTTGGATGAGGGGGGGGGGAAGGGGATGCGGTGAAGAGGCTGGTTGGCTTGTTCATATTTCATCCTTTCATTTTCTTTTTTTCTTTTTGTTAATTGTTATTTTTGATATTTATTTTTTGTTCTTGTTTTTTATAAAGAAGAAAAAAAATACAAGTATATCTATGGTTGTCTCGTGAGGGGAAGTGTGTAGTGTATTAACACTTGACTTGCAGCACAACTAGAAAGTGTAGGGTATGAAGTGCCAACCAGAACATATCCAGAAAACCAGTCCAAGTTATTACCCATCATCACAGCAGTCATTCATGCCAGACAAATGGGCTCGTGACGCTTCCAACTGCTCGACTACGAGTCATATTAGAAGCAAATCAAAATAATTTTTTTTTTTTTTTTGTTCTCCATTTTAGCTTACGCACGCAGTTTTGCAGACCGGTAAAGCTTCCAGTCACTCCTAGGAAAGCAACTCCAGTTTTATTTTCCTTTCTTTTTTTGTATTAAGAGTGGTAGTTTTATTTATACTTAAGAATGTGTTTATATTGTTGGAGATAATTGTTGTTTCCTGTTATAAAATTATAGATAGAAAAATTAATGCCAAGAAAATGTCTTTTGAAAAATAATTTGTGGCTGCAAACTGATACATGGTTTACTCTTGTGAAGCATTTTGCATAGAGCAGTGTGCATCTTTAAGACAATCTCCAATGCAAAGATTAGCTCTGCACTCACACTGACTAATGAATGATGGTGGAATCATTAGTATTTCAAGACTTTAATGTTAGGAACAGAGGCTGGACGGACTTGGCTTAGAACTGAGAGTGAATAATGGTGAGATTACAATTTGTGCAAGGACATAGCAATTTAAGAGACTTATCTGCAGGCAGCGTGTTTTTGTTTTTTTGTTTTTTTTGTTAACCAGTATGTGTATATTAGGTAATCAAAGTGTGCTCAGCTTATTTAACCGTAAGTGGAGATGGCTTTGCCTCTGCTTAACAATGAGCCCTTCTGAATACGTCTCAGTACAGCACAGGATGGGTCAGTTTTCTTCAGCGCAACACAAACACTTAAAATCTTAACATGTTGGCATAACGAGTGTGCAATGGGTAGACTGTAAATTGTAGTTTTTTGTTTTTTTTTCTTTGAACGTGTACATTTCAAAAGTTGGCTTCTTCTCCCACTTTTTTTTCTGTCACAATCAATTCATTTTCTCACCCTCTGACCTACTAACAGGGAGAAAAAACATAACTTCAGCCAGATTTTTATTTTCTAGGGAAAATGCTTCCTACTGCAAACAGCATTGGGATAGCTTTGGTTTTGCTTTTGGAGGTCAACTGCTGGTTTGAACAACAGTTTTCAGTCAAGAGATGTGCATCTGGAGTGCTCTATTTTTCCCCTATCCCAAAGCTCTGCACGGCTTGGGCCTCCCTGTGCTTGCATGACATGGAAGTATATTTTTTGTTGTGCATGTAGATCAATTTTTTGAAATAATCCTCTTGTTTACACATGGATGGTGATGTTAATATATTTAAGAATTTAATGGTATACAATATGGATGTTGCCAAACTTTGGTAAATGTACACATATTATGAGAGGTAATCCAACTGAACTGAACTACATGTAACTTTTTGTATTTTACCCGGGTCAGCGAGATGCTTCGATTCCAGTAAAAGTTGCATATCTGATCCTGTCTCAAACTGCCACACACTGTACTCAGCTTAAAGGGGAAAATTTGATGTTTTTTTTTTTTCCTTTTGTATATAAGTATTTGTTAAATGCAGTTCTGGCTCTCTGTTCTCTGTATAGTTCAGACCGCGCTTTAGTTTGTAAGTGCTACTTTTCTCTGAGGGACTTGGGTTCTTTTTAGTTTGTGTGGGGATATGAGAAGATTTAAGTTTGAGAACCTTTTTTTTTCCTTTTTCTGCATGCTGCATCTTATGCTGTGGGACTGTTGGAAACTTGATACTGTATGAAAAATAAAATTTAAATAAACTTTGAAATGTTGAAAGTATTCTATTTGACTGTCCTTTTTTTATTATTATTATTTTAAACCTGACCAAGATGTGACTGACTAGACTTGTATCTTCATTCACCAGGAAAGAAGAGTACACACATGCTTCGTTTAGTTTTTTTTTTTTTTTTTAAACACATTTGCACAAACACGTACTTTCAGATATCCATATTCCCTTAATGCACGTATCATAATTTTATTAATCATATTTGATACCAGCTGATTCAGAAACCACGAGATTACAGAAGAACCCGAGGTATTAGTCCAAAGGGCAGTGACTGTCTCAACACAGATCCCACATAGGAATTCCACCAGCCAATAGGGGAAGAGAAATACATATGGTAACCAATCAGGCTTCAGGTTTAGAATCTCTCTGCAGTCCTGCTAGCCACCACTCGGATGTTGCCATAGACCTTTGAAGGTGGACTTCCTGTAGGGGCAAAAGGGATTTAAAGGTCACTTCTCAGCACTAATGTGTAAACAAAGAGTTCAATTCCAAATATGGTTAATGCTAGATTCGATGGATTTGCTGTCAGGTGACTGATGCTCTGAACACTGGAAAAGGCTGCACAGCAGTTAAATAGGTTTGTTCAGGACTTGGCTAAACTGTTTGTTCAATGTTTTAGGGTTTTTCTTTAAGCTGACTGTCAGCTTATAAAAAAAAAAAAAAGTAAGAAATTCGATTTTTGCACTCCTTACGGAAAACATTAAGTGTTATAACAGGTCTTTTTAAACACCTGATTCAGAAAAATGGCTTCATTCCAATGCTTTATTGCCTAGCCTCTTTTAATTTAGGCACTTTTACTGCTGCATTTAAGTATATATCAAAATTGAAATCCATAAAAGGATTCACAGGGGAGTCTTATAATCTAAATTTCAATGTTTAAATGAGTACCTCAAAGTGAATAAATTAGTACTTGTACTTCTCCAGGAGTAACGGTATTTGAGACAGCAGAGTGTCCAACCAGCTCATCCAATAAAGCACCACCTCAATAGCATCAACCACATGATATACTGTGCTATAAAAACAATGCTCGTCTTACCTAAGATCAAGTTGCATATCGCTGTCCGGGCCATCTTGATATTCTGGAAAGATCCTAATACGTGAACTTTTCTGTAGACAGACAAAGCAGAGTGTTCGCAGTTTCAATGAACAATGAATACAAGGCACATAACTAGAAAACATACTGCAGGTATGGATGTATGCGAAAGGTTGTTTATATTGTCTTTAGAGTACCCACAAAAACATCTGCGTGAAGAGGAAAATAGCATTTGTGTGACAAAAACTGTTAGTAAGTAATATATGATAGTATGTTTATGCACTTATTAACAAACCAAATCAGGCCAGTTTATTTTATTTTTTTAAGTTTAATCCCAAAGAAGTAAAGCTCTTCTTTACAGAGTTTCTTTGCAAGATCTGTATTGAACTCCAATACTTATCATGACTAAAACAATGCAAGAGAAAAAATCCCAATCTAAATGTTTGATTAATGCTGCAGTGAAACCGTATCAACTTCAAAAAGGTGGCTAAAGAAAATTAATGAGGGATTAAGAAGCAAATGATGTGAAAAATTAATTAGTAATTTTACTGTAGCATATCAAAATAGTGGATTTACTCACGTGTCTGCAAGCACAATGCGAGTCTTTGTGACATTTTCAATGGTGAATTTGGTTTTTCCTCCCTTCCCTGCTATTCTTCCAATAGCTCTGGATAAGTGGTCTCCCTTCAGAGGTTTCACTGCCAAAACATGGGAGAACAATTAAATAGATCTCGAGAGGTTGAACATTGTATTCTTCATGCAGCAGGGAAAGAGAACTGGTAAGAAATTATGACGACTCTAACAGCAGCCACAAGTGCTACGGAGGTGGAAACTCACCGTCTGTGACATCAAAGCTTTCAAGGAAGAGCTCATCTAATCTAATGAGAGCCAGAGCATCCTGAGGGGAGAGAGTGTGAATGTTACATCACGAGTGACAATCCAGCAAGGCTCAAAATTAACAATAAAATACTGTGACAGCTTCTAAAGATAATTTACACATTTAGACAAAGCAAAAACAACTACAAGTCACTTTATGGAGGCTACTGACAGGGAGGAAACTTTTATTGTATTAACAATAGATTATTTAACTACACTGAGCTGAAGTAAGTTTCAGTCAAGTGTCTCTACCACTGTGCCAAAACTTGAATTTTGGCTTGACAAATACACATTCAGTACAAAAGCAGTCAGGCAGAATTAAAACATGCAGAAAACTCATGTACTTACTTCAACCTGAAATCCAAGAACAAATGCTTTAACAAAATCAGCTGCTCTTTGGAGTGAGGTGATGTCCTGTGTTTCTTTACATGTCTGAAAGAAAGAAGGCATATTAGTCATATCAGAGATGAAATACTGTATATAAGCATTGTAATAAATAGGCTCACCAAATCACCGAAGTCTACATGAACAGGAGAAGCTTACCTTGATTTCAACATTCCTTGTTTTGAGGTTGAATCTAACTTGAAGTTGTAGGTTCTCTACAATAGGAGTGAAAATCTTCAGCCAGTTATCTTTCAGCGGTGTGTATCTGTGAGCTGGAACTGGGATTTTGCGCATCTCATCTGATCCCTTAAAAAAACAAACAAACACAAAGAACATTTCTGATCATACGGTGTAATGTTAGCAAAACTACTCTATGACATTTGGTTAGGATTTATCAGAAAACATCTTTGCTTTGTAACCCGAACTCAAAGCAATGCTGCAACTAATGTAACATGTTTACGATTGTTTAATGTGGTGACTTTTTTTCCACTTAACTGTCTGATCTTTAAATCATCAGGAAACAGTGAAAAAAAATGTCATCATAACAGAAACCACTAATCCACGACAGAAGTAGAAAGAGAGATTGCAGAGTACATATAAACAGCAACCCCGGGTTTCTATTGTGCCTGACGGTGCATTTAATTACTGAAACATTCATATGCACGCTTAATTTCAAAGTTTCTAATTAATCCTCTGAGTACTGGACTGATATTAACCACGAGTAATTTATGCGTTTTGTTTTCCTAACTGTATTTTTGCTTTAGTAGACAGTGCTTTAAACAGTCAGAGTACTGTGAAATCATAAGTATTATAATAACAGTCACGACCTAAACACAGTATTTGTTGTGTATTTGAATATTCTACTTGGGCAACCACACTACCACAACAGCAGCTTTATTTAGTGTATTCACATGACTACACCGCGCGTGCGCATAATAGTTAATGGTTTGGTCGGGGAAGCTACTTTGTAAACATGACAAATAACATTAAATGTACAGTTATTGGTATTTATTTGACAAAACCGAGAGAATACACAGAGTCTATATATGCACGTGGTGTAGTTACCCGTAATTTGTCTCCTGAAATGGGCGGAAATTGCGGTCGTTTGCTTGCCACGGGCTCCTCTGTGTCCATGCTCGCTCCATCTTGTTCACGTTTTCGCTTCTGAGACTTTTTTGACTTAACCTTTGTGAAAGAATCGGCGTCATCTTTGTTCTCAATGGGTACTACAGAGTCCGGGACTGGGTTTTTGTCGGTGTCCATCTCGAAAAAAGTTTTTAAAATCAGACTTTGAGTAGAAACCTAAGCAGACTGTGAACGGAGACGCGTGAGCATGTCCTCGTGGGACGAAAAGGACCCAAACAGCCACATCAACGACGCCTGTAGATTGAGAGGTAACAAAATTATTTTATTATAACTATCTATGATGTCTCTAGTTGTCTTTAGAATTGAATGCAAGCTGTTTATATATTTTTGCATATGATTTTTGTACCAATGTACATAGATATTTTATTGAAAGATACGCATTTTGTCAGGCATCTGTTAAGGCAGCCGCTCGCTCAGCTGTACCTAGTTTGTTTTGGAAGAGAGCGACAGTTGTCTAGTTTTTCACGCCGATATCAGTGTTTCTTATAAAAATGTCATCGCCGCTGTCCAAGCCTCAGATTATTACGCATATTCAGAAGAGTTTGAACTATACGGTTTTTGACAGTAAATGGATTCCCTGCAGCGCGAAGTTTGTCTGTCTGGGAAACTTTCCTAGTGGAACCGGAGTGATTCAAATATATGAAGTTCACCAAGGCGAGGCTCAGCTCATAAAGGAGGTACATTAACGTTCTACTCTTGTGGGCCTTTGTTCCTTTCTTTTCTCTCAGATATTTCATACAAACGGCGTACAGAGCTAGCTAGCCCGTCGAAGAGTTCTAGAAAAGTCTGGCAAGGGTGTTTCCATGACAACAATTTGAAGGCAGCCCGTTCATTATTGTTCTACTGTAGATTATCCTATAGTTGGCATACTTTATCCAGATTATACTTAAAAAGCAAATACTACAGCATCACTTGCAACGATTAAAAGATTGCTACGCTGTCACCAGTGTATCGTACTACAAACAAAACTTACTGTTGTAGTTTTGCGCCATGGGATGTGTGCCAGGCATCAAGATACAGATAAAGGAGAGTAAACGTAACAAAACGTGTATAAATATGATTCTTTTATACTTATCTTGCCTGTTTGTTTTAAGTGTAGGTCATTTTGCTGCTAAAGCTTGAATCAAGAGTGCCTACATGATACAGTGCTGTGAAAAAGTATTTGCCCTATTCCCAATTTCTTATGTTCTTGCATATTTGTCACGCATGTTTCAAATGATCAAGCAAATGTTAGTATAAGACAAGAACGTCTTAGTTAAGGTCAGTGTTCATGATTCAATGATAAGAAAGAGAATCGGTAAAAATGGCATCTATGGGAGAGTTCCGTAGTGAAAACCACTGCTGACCAAAATGAACACAAAGGGCCATCTCACGTTAGCTAAGAAAACAATCAAACATGGTGATGTGATGGTCTGGGGCTGTTTTGCTGCTTTTGGCCTGGACGACTTGAATTAATAGGTTCAACCAGAAAATCCTAAAGGAGAATGCCTGACTGTCAGTTTATGCCCTGAAGCTCAAGCTCACTTGGATTATGAAAATACATTTTCACTGCACTCCTTCCACACTGCTTTTCCATTATATGCTGAATTGTCCCATTCACGAAACTAAACAAACTCTTACCTCTGTGATATGTTTCAGGTAGAGAAACCTAAAGCTATAAAATGTGGAACATTTGGGGCCACGTCTCTTCAGCAAAGACACATAGCAACAGGGGATTTTGATGGAAATCTCAATATATGGTATTGTATACACCAATTGTAACTGTTGTGCCTGTAATAGCAAGAATCAAACTGGGAAAGCAAGGTTTAAATTCTATTTTTAACCAAAAAACACTTGTTGTGTTAATTGTAGATCTTATATTCAAATCCCAAAGACAGTTATAATTGGAATGGAATAGAAAAAATGTAATGGAAATGTTATTTTAAAAATCTGTTACGTCGACATTAGACTTATTCAGTACTGATGTCCTGTGGTTCACAGGAATCTAGAGACCCCGGATGTGCCCGTATATGCTGTAAAGGCCCACAAAGAGATCGTGAATAGTATTGATGGTGTTGGTGGTCTGGGGATTGGTGATGGTGCGCCTGAGATCGTTACTGGAAGCAGAGATGGTAAGAGCATTTAAAAAAACAAACAAACTAGATTGTAATTACTTTTCAGTGCAATGATAGTGGGAAAGTAAAGTACACGAAAATAAGACTAGATCCTACATGATTGTATTTTAATAGGTACAGTCAAGGTGTGGGATCCCAGACAGAAGGATTCCCCTGTAGCCAACATGGAGCCAATGGAAGGAGAAACCAAGAGGGACTGCTGGACTGTTGCTTTTGGTTTGTAAAATATTCTTCAGAAACTAAGTTGATAGTGCTGGTGCTTCCCCTACTTCCATGGTGTGCAGAAAAGAACATAAGGTCTGAAGAGGTTAAGGCTCCTGCAATAGTTGTGGTAGTATAAAGGACACTGTTACAGCTTGTGCCCCTTAACAGGGTCCTCACAGAACATTATTTTCTTGAGGACCGAAGTACCAACATCCACAAGTAAAGTTTAAAAACATGCTCTCCACTTTATCTGTATCCACAGAGACAGGACTGTAATGCATTTTTGATAGTGATAAGAACTGATACAGTCATAGGTTATATTAATTCTAAGAAGCAGTAAAAAAATATTTATCATATATTCTATTGTGTACAATTTGAGGGATTTCTTTATACTTAGTAAAGGGGATTATTTCTCTGAATTTTAAACAGCAGAACAAAGCCCAAATTCCAGCTAGTCCCTTGGTCAAAGGTACAATGTCAGGAGAGAGTATTCAAACTCCAGAGAGAAGCACCCTGTTCTGGGTCAGACAAAGGACACTCTGTGAAGCAACAATGCTAACCTATCAGCCACCATAAATAAAGCTGCTGTAATGCACTGCACATAACCGATAAGACATGACAAACAAAACTTTTGTTTTTGTTTGTTTTTCATGTATACTTTTTTAAGAACATCCTGATCCATGCCCTCCAAACACAAAAGGTGCAAACAGATGGTACAGTGGAAAAAAAAAAAGCACATGAGCATGAACACCTATGGAAATGCAGCCATAAACCTATGTTGTGCCTTTGTGTTTGTTTTCAATGATCTTTCCCAGGCTTAAAATATCCTTTACATTTACATTTCAGGTCATGCCTTTAATGATCAGGACCGCTGTGTTTGTGCTGGATATGACAATGGTGACATCAAACTCTTCGATCTGCGGAATATGTCTCTACGGTGGGAAACGAACATTAAAAATGGGGTGAGGTGAAAGAAAAAATTGTCAGTATGTGGCATATATACATTTTCTACTTTTTTTTCTGATTCAACCAAACATGAATCAAAATAGTTAAAGCTAATGCTTTTTTTAAGGGTTGAATTCTTTTGGCACATAATATTTCCTTTGCACAAATAACAGATTTTGAACTATAATGCAGACAAAAACGGTGTGAAATGTGGAGACAGAACTGAAAATGACTTCCCACATCATTTACACTGCACATAAAACAACAGGGCAGTCTGAGGTGAATACTTCCTCACATGCCATAAGCAGTACAAAGAATTGCTCTGATTTTATTACATGGCTGTCTCTTTCATTCAGTTCCTCTTGTGTATAAACCTGCCAGAAGTCATTATGCCAAGTTCAACACATTCTACTGCATGGTAAAATCATTTGTGATGGAGCTTTGCCATGTGGTAAATATCCAGGGAGTGACTCATTTCTATTATTTTTTTTTTTTCTTGACTAGGTATGTTGTGTGGAGTTTGACAGGAAAGACATCAACATGAACAAGCTGGTGGCCACTTCACTGGAGGGAAAATTCCACGTTTTTGACATGAGGACCCAGCACCCTACCAAAGGCTTCGCCTCGGTTTCTGAAAAGGTAATTAACCTGGGTGGAGTGACTCAGATGGATGTTTGGCTGCTATGTATGGGGAAAATGTCAAAAGGCTATTAGAACTATTATTGTTATTGTTACATTTGTGTGGTATAGAAAGAAATGGGGGCAAACGGCAATTTGACCGTTTTTATAGCTGGAAGTGTTTGGGGTCATGTTTGTCTAACTACCTTTGTGTAACCGGCCCGAAAAATGAGACTGGGCATGTTAGGGAAGAGATGTGTGGCTTTCTGTGGGAAAACGCTGGAAAAACTACACTTAAACCAGGATTAGTGCACGGCCAGCTTTCCAAGTGTTAGCTAGGCCCAGGAAATCCAGGGGCCTGGCTTTCTAAATATTTGTCCAGTTCTTCTGAGCAATCAACAGTTGGCACACCAGTGTCTCCAACCATGAGTCATAAGGTTCCACCAAGAATTTCAGACTAAAATACAACATGGACTTTACAAGGTTCAAGGTTCTTTATTCGTCACATGCATAGTTATACAAGTATAACGCACAGTGAAATGTAACCTGACATTTCACTGACACGCCCCTCGACTTGTGCAAGGGGGGGGGGGGGACATTATATATATATATATATATACATATACACACACACACTCTCACTCTCACTCATTAGGTGAATGTGCAGTAGTAGCATGTATGCAGCAAGCAGGTGAATTCTGTACATTAAGTGAATTAAATAAGAATAGACAATCTGACTATTTTACAAAATAGACAAAATGAACATATATAAAATTAAAGGAATTTGAAATGTACATTGTGCCGGTGGGTTTAGAGTGTCTAGAAGAGAGTCCTGTCTCAGTCACTTATAGATGATGTGAGAGGGTGAGGGGGGTTGGTTTAGGGCCCGAATGGCTTGGGGATAGATGCTCCTCTGGAGTCTCTCTGTCCTTGCCCGGATGATGCGGAATCTTCTACCGGATTGCAGAAGTTGGAACAGTGTGTTGCCAGGATGGGACGGGTCCTTCAGTATCTGTGCTGCTTTAGTCCGGCATCTCCTGGTGTAGGTGTCCTGAAGCGGGGGGAGACCAATCCTGCAGCAGCGTTCTGCTGTACAGATCACTCTCTGAAGAGCTTTTTGGTCCTTAACACAGCTGTTCCCAAACCAGGATGTGATGTTCTGTGTGAGGATGCTCTCCACAACGCCTGTATAGAAAATCCTGAGGATCTCAGGAGAGACCCTAAACTTCCTCAGTTGTCGTAGGTGGTACAGGCGCTGCTTAGCCTTCTTGGTCTGGAGCTGAATGTAGGCAGACCATGTCAGGTCTGAGGAGATGTGGACACCGAGATACTTGAAGGACTGCACCCTCTCCACTGGAGCACCATTGATGATAATGGGCTTGTAGTCTCTGTGCTGACTCCTTCTGAAGTCCACCACCAGCTCCTTGGTCTTGCCAAGGTTCAGCTGGAGATGGTTGTCCTGGCACCGTGATGCCAGATTCTTCACTTCATCCATGTAGGCCGCCTCATCGTTGTTGGAGATGGCGCCATTAATATCATGGTATTGATGGTTATTATAGTCAAAATTTCAGTCATTTTCAAAGCATCAAGAGCAGCCTCTTTCACGTGGATTCCGAGGTTTTTCTGTTTCGCTTTTTAATGTCCTTTCGTATGTCTAGATTTTTTGTGTGTTTTAATGCAAAATATTTTTTGGTGGAGATACTTCGCATATGCAAAACAAAAGCTTTTTCAAATTCAGTTTGTCCAGCTGAAGCAAGGAAAATGAAGCATTTTTGGCAATGGAAGCAAGGGAAAGATGCAATGTCAGAGATCGGACTATTCCACTGATGATATAAATTTAACTTGTGTTTTGAATTTAAGTCTATACCAAAGAAGAGTCAAAACAGGAACCTCTAAAAACAGCACAAGTCACACTTTGTGACTGTTATCAGTCTAAAGTGGTTGAAAGGTTTTCTTTACAGTCTTTCGGTACACTTTATGTACTAAACATGACTCTTCTGTTTTAGGCTCATAAGTCGACCATTTGGCAGGTGAGACATTTGCCTCAGAACAGAGACATCTTTATGACCACAGGAGGAGCCGGCAACCTACATCTATGGAAATAGTAAGTAACCAGTCAAGTCAGTCAACAGACACCATGTTCTTTCCTGTAAACTGTAAACTAACCATAATTTTTTGTGTTTTGATGTCATTTCCAGTGAGTATCCTGCTCAGAGATGCAAGAAAGACTCTGATGGTGTTGACGTAGGTGTAGCTGGATCTGTCAACCTCTTACAGAATGTCACTCTGTCTACTCAGCCAATTGCCAGCCTGGACTGGAGCCCAGACAAGCAGGGCCTGTGTGTGTGTTCGGGTTTTGACCAGTCTGTCCGTGTACTTATTGTCACTAAACTCAACATAGTTTAACAACTGCACCGCATAAAAGACTTTTTGTGATCTGTGCAGCCTAATATGGGAAAAACAAAAAACAAACAAGTATCTGTAGTGCTGCACCACCCGTGTGTAAGTCACAGGCTTAATGATGAGTAGTCTTTTAGTAGAAGACACCAATTTTCTACTGCAAGTCCTGGAGACTGCTCATGTCCATTTCAATCAATACTCCTTTAAAAAGTATTTTAGATTAACTGGGAAACTTGAGTTTGGCCATTTCTTCCCCCTATGTTAAATGATATCCCTAAAAAATGTGTATTGTCTGGCTGAGCCCTGCAGATGATATTATCCTTTACTGCAGAGAAGTATCCCTGTAACGCAATTATACATTTCCTGTAAAGTCTCTATGTGGATGGAAAAATAACTGTAGCCTCTGGCTTGGAATTACTGTGGGATCAAGATTTATTTTCTCTCATCAATTTCTGTTTTTGTAGGAGGAAACTGAAACGTTTTCCGTTGTTGCACTGTCAGTGAACATTGTTGTAGTTCACTTTTGTCTATTGTTTAAGTTGTGGCTTTTGACATGACATTTTTAAGAGGTGTTTTTCCTAATTAAATCTGTATTTGAATAAAAAAAAAAAGATTTCTCAGTTGCTTTAACCAAATACAAATGGCTTATTTCATACTGCAGTAGTAATTGTAGTCAAGATAAGTAGTTTTGTTTATGAACACACAAAGGCCCAAACACAGTTGCACATCACCCCTTTGATTTGCATGCTACTATAAGTGTTAGTGTGTCCCATTTCTTTTGAGGACAACATTAATGGTCAATTACACTTTGAAATTAAATATGGGGGGCCATTTAAAAGGCTAGATGGTGAATACCCTACCATATGCAGCAGCCAGGGAGAAGAGACTAGAATTAAACTCAAGACTCCGAATTTATTACATCAACACAGCAAACAATCAAAAACATCATATCCAGCACTTGAACTTGAAGAAGTTCTGCAGATCCTCATCATCCTCTTGTCTGTTGTGGATCCCCGCGTAGACGGTCTTTAGCAGCTTGGTCTTAGACTTTCCATCCAAAATGTGAATGTAATTCTCTATGCAACCTGCAAACACAACCACAGATTTGCATAACAAAATTAGTTCACTCACACTGACAAAAATATTGTAGCATGTCATATTGTCTGGGTGTGTCTGACAAAATATTAAATATCTTTATATAACTACATTATATCCTGACTTGCCCTGTGGCCACAGTTTATTTGACAGCAGTCACCATATATGTATTACTATTTAGTATGCAATATGCCATCTATCTGTCAATCACACCAGCTGAATGTGATACATCTCTATAAATAACACGACATGGCATGTCACATGGGTCTGGCGGCATGATTTCAGTACAACACATTTGGTAAATATAGTCCAGCTGCCTATAAAGAAAATCATGGTAAACCAGTATTTTTTTTACACCTAAAAATGTATCTGTAGCTGGCAATCTTAATAAGCAACACTCACACTTTATAGGTAGATGCTCCCCATGTCCATTCAAAATCATTAAAAAGTTATTTAACTAGACATTTTGTTTAAACTCTAAAGGTTTCTGTAAATAACTTTTTACTGTTCAAGTCTGACTTTTTCCAAAGCTAATACCACGTGTTTATAGTATTTATAATAATAATAATAAAAAGTAATCACTTAGGCCCATGACTTTGCCATAAGCTATGAGGCTGGGGCCAAGCTGTGGGTGGTCGTACTGCTCCTCAGACATCAGCATGCGCACAATCTCTCCTGTGATGAAGGCATCCTCGAAGTTTTGCTCAGCCACAGGCTTCAAAGGGAATTTGCAGTATACATCCAAAGCAGCCTGAGGGTCGGATGGCTCCAGCAGCTGCGCAAGCTCGATGTAGGCATCATGGATCTAAACAGTCAGTTCATTAATCATATTTGATCTGCACTGCATTAAACCAGATAAACACCAAGAGCATGAGACTCTTTGAAAATATATAAACTACAACTTTTAGAGGTTTTCTAAATATCGAAGACATGTAATGGGAAATCTTTTTCCTAAATGTTCTTGAATGACTATATTCACTGTACATGAGATGTATGAAAGTATTTACTCAGAAATCTCAGCTAAATTTGAATCAAATGATCAAATAATGACATTTTATTAGTTCTATATGAATCTCTCCCTCATATTTTGAATGTCTTGAATTATACTGCACATTTTCTTCAGACATAATTGAGATCTTTTTTTCAGGCAAAGATTTATGAACAAAGGGTAACCGCTTTCAAGTCTTGAGCACGAGACTTTAAAATCTGAATATATATAGTTTAATTTTCTAGTCCAACAGCAGAACATGTGGCTATTCCACAGAGTTGGTGGGAGAAAGAACATGTTAATAAAATCCTTACTTAATGTGACTATTGTGAAACTTTGGGAAACGCTTTAAAATGCAAATATAAAAGATAACTGACCTCTGGTGCCATTGCGATGACCTCTTGGTATAGCTGTTTTGCTTGGTCCTGGGTGTTTGAAGATCGCGAGTAAGCTCGAGCCAGACCCAGTCTTGCTGCATGAGATCTGCGGTTCATCAGACTGGACTCATGGATTTTGTCTGTCACAGCAACTGAACAGAGATTGTTTTGAATCCCACATTGTACCCATTTAATGTTCTTGGAAACCAAAATCCTTAAGTAAAGAAAATTTGTATATTTATGACAGTGGTGCTAAACAACTAATGTCAAATCATCTGCATTTCAAGTAATCAATACCACTGTTTTGCATGTTATACCTTCAGTTAAACAGCATTATATTTGAACTTCTTAAACAGAAAAATGTATAAGCCCTCTTTTATCATCAAGATTTAGATTTTCTCTGTGTAGTTTTTTTTTTTATTGTAGCTTGCAAAACCTGTTCACACCTCACCAAGAAAGGATTTTCAGTTTCCCAGACTTGCCTCTGTAATGCCTTACCCTCAGCTTTCCTCAAAGTATCAGAGAAACTGTCCTGTTTAGACTTGTTGAGCAGGAGCTGAGGTTTAGTGTTATGACCAGAAAGTTTCACCCTATCTGGCTTGGCAGCTGCTCCAGAACTCCCCCTACAGGAGAGAAAGCATAATACAGGCTCTCTAAAAACTTATTTAATATTCAAGTGAAAAGTCTGTTTTTTTGTTAGTTTGGTTGTTTGTTGTTGTTTTGTCTTTTCATATAGCAGACCCAGAGTCATAAATGGTAAAAGGCTGTTTTTGCTTCATACGTAGGAAGCAAGGCAAAGCTATACAGGCTATAAATCCATAAGAAATCATTCATGCTATGACAATGGGAAAGGGAAAACCATCTAAACCATGTATCTACAAACACCTTTCTCAGTACAAACCTGGCTGTAGGGGTTTTGGCTGGATTCCGGACAGCCTTCCCTCCCCTGGTGGGAGCTGGAGCTGGTGCTTTGGTTACAGCTACTGCTACACACCTAGAACCTCCCCTGCTCTGCTGCACTCCTCTTTTTGCCAATTTGATGTCACAAGTCTCCTTTACACCAGCTGGTTGGGTGATGGACTGCTTGGCAGCTTCCTTAGTTTTAACCTCCACCTTTTCCTGCCACCACTTTTGTTCTGAGCAAACAGGTAATGGTGAGGAAAAGTTAAATTCCAAAAAGGCTACATTAAAAATGTGTTAAAAACACCAGCCTATTGGAAGAAATAACAGAACATTCATTGAAACACAATCATCAGTTTGATAGAAAGTAATAATTCTGGCATGAAATACAAGCACAAGACATGGAATATAAAAGTTACATGACCACCAGAGATGTCAATGAAGTATGTTTGCTAGAGAATATCAGGTCCTTTTCATTCATTATCCTAACATATGCTTTCTTGCATCCCCTCTCCTCCCATAGCATGGAAATTGTTTCCTAAAGACCATCACAGGAGATCTTCCAGTTCCGTAAATGTACCTGAAGGACATGAGGGGCTATGATTACCATTTTGGGGGTTCTATGAAACAGGTTTATGACACTGACCTTTCCATAAATTAAAATATTTAAAACGAATTCTATATGACTAAAATCAACACTGGCAATAATGCCACTAAAATTAAGATACATTAATCAATGAACATATCTTATGAGAAAAAAGACAAGAAATTATAATATTAGAAGTTCTGTGGACATTCATATCATTCAGTGATGCAGCTGTGAACCTTCTTAAGTAACTAACATAACTTGAGACCGACACTACGGAGGCAAGGATTTTTCATTTGGCAGCTTTGATTCTTGCATCTTGGCATCGCTTCCTCTCATCTCTCTCACATCCTTGCTGGGAGCAAGAAATGCAAGTGAAGGAAGTGAGGAGGCACATTAGCATAATGAAAAGGACCCATGGTGTTGCCAGCAGCCTACGGTGGTGACCTTCCTCCCACTTGTAAGGTGGAGGAAGCTGGTTCATCTGGCTGGGGTCAGGCCTACAATTCTGCTTTATTTTTATGTAGTTTTCTACACATTACAGGTAAACCAGCTTTATTTACCTCACAAGTGAAAAGAAGTGCACCACTGCAAGCTGCTGGGAAAACCATCTTCTCTGGAAAAGCTCACTTTAGTTAATGTACAGAGACTCACTGGTCAGCTGTTCAGGTGGCTCTCCAATCTGAGTCTTGAGTTCCAGCTCAATGCTGGCCTGGAGGCTGAGAAAGGCATCACTTATAGCTTCCTTTGACCTTTCTGAATTTGGGTTATTGTCGTACTGAGCCAGCTGTGCCAGACCCAAGAGACAAAGGGCATGGCTGTCACGCGGTGTGGTTACTACTGCAAGGTGGCACGTCTTCATGCACCAGCAGTAAAGAAACCGGAAGAGAAAAAAAGTCTGAATTATGTCACACGAAACACTCTAGGATATTAACAGTCACTCTATGGATTAGGTACCCTGCACTCGTAAAAAAGAAAGCTCAACATACCCTTTCCTGCATGTCAAGAAGTTCCTGACAGGGAGTGATAGAGGTGTGACGTATTAGAGCTGTGAGGGCCTGGCATCTTTTTGCCACCAGAGACTGCCTCTCAATGCCAGTCTTAGCCTGGCATTCACTCTGCTGGGTCAGCCTCTGCAGCAGGGCAAAGTGAGCATCCAGCAGCACCCACTCCAGCTGCCTGCTCACCTCACCACGACGTACACACTGACTCACACTCTGGGCACTCAGCATTGCCACACTGAAGCAGTCCAGCACAGAGACAAGAAGACAGTGTTTTTATGTAGTGGTTAAAACAGCTAAACTGGCTTCTACTCTTAAATGACAGGACTTTTCTTTGGATCACACATTCACTGCTGAGATGAGTGAGACAGCTCGTTAGAGCTGATATCCACTGCAAACCCCGAATAATAAAACCAGCAAAAAATAAAAACTCCCAAAGTTTTGCATACATATGATAGACCTGTTCAGCACTCATGGCCTTTGTGCATAATGTGCTTCTCTGCTGCAGTTGCCCCAGAGTAAGAAGGCCACGTAGGAACTGTGTGTTGCGGCTGGACAGAGGGTCCGATAGATCCTGCTCCTCCCAGCTGTAAACAAAATCCTAAAATATATGGCAGTACAAGCACGAAGCAGCCATTATAACTCTATAGATGACACAACTTAAAGTGTATCAATGTGCTTCTGTAGATGATAGTGGTCTCTTTCAATCAGTTACCTCTCCTTTCAACAGGCTTAAACAGAACAAGCTGGTATATTATTGTTGCTGTCATGGCCTCACACTCTCCCTCTCTCACTGAATATATCCACCTCCACCTCCACCACACACACTCACACACACACACACACACACACACACACACACACACACACACACACACACACACACACACACACACACACACACACACACACACACACACACACACACACCTCTTGCTGCAGCGCTGGCTGATAAAGTGCTCCAGTCCCTGTTGTAAGAACAAAGCAGCCTCCTTCTCTGCATCCTCAGAGGCTTTCTGTTCCTGCAGTAGCAGACCCAGGCCTGCGAAGAATCTGGAAAAAAGAAAGGCAGCACACATTGAAGAGCTCTGATCTAGTTTTTAGATGTTTAGAATCTAGACCCAGTTTACCCTGTTTAACAGTCTAATCTTAGAAAGGTTATATGATAGAGGGCTTATCATGGAGTGAGAATTTAAGAAGGAGAATAAGGGCTTTTTCAAACCTGCTCTTACACAGCCACAGAAAGGATGCGCATATTTTAACCTTCGCTTCCCTTTCCCTCCCTTGCAGCAGCAGCAGCCTTCCTGCATGGAGGCTGTACTCCCAGCTTTCTGGGCACAGAGACCAGGCATCCAGGTACTTCAGAAGGGCTCGGTGGATATAGCTCTCTTTATCCTGCATAGTTGCACTGATGTCCTGCAACCACCAAGTCCAAGTTTATTGATGATAAGTAACAGTCATAGATGCTTAGACTAAAAACAACCATACAGAACAATATCTATATTTACCATGGTAGTGAATGCAGAACGGAAGTATCTGGAACGATACTGATTTCTATAACTAGCAATGAAAAACATCAAGATCTTCAGCTGAATAAAATTCAGCTCTGTGACGACTTAAGTGTGTTTGAAGAGCCTGTGGAAATGTTAACAGTAATATTCTGAGATGCTGAACTGAATATTGTTTACAAAAGGGTTAGGGTGGTTTTACATTCTAACAGATCACTCATAAGTCAAAGAGAAGTTGTACTGATGTTAGGAAGACGGCGATAGTCTGTCTGTACTGGCCCCTCACTAATCTTTTTCATCACTATCAGATAAAACAGTTTCCTCAAGCAATAGAAGCAGAGGTACTGACAGCATATGACACAATTACCTTGCCAGTTTTCTTAGAAAGCCAGATGTAGAGAGTCTGAACATAGTCTGCTTTGCTGGACTGTCCCTGCTCTTTGAGCAGATGATACTCTTTATCCAGAGCCTGCAGCTGGTTCTCTACTGTGGGTGTTCCAAGGAAACCGTGCAGTTTACACACAGCCAAGATGTCATCCTGATGTGCTGTTGATTTGGCATCACTTAATTCATCTCTCTCTTTGTCAGCCTTTGAGTTGAAACATGCGAGGTTCATTAGCTTTCAACTCAAAAATCAACAAGACAACTGATTTACAATAAACTGTCAAAAAAGTACTATTTTTATATTTTCTGAAAGCTTTGTCACATTTCATAAACTTCCACATGCTTATGAATAATGAAAGTGTGTACTGCAACATCAAAGCAATGTTGTTAACTGACATTTCAGCTGTAATTGACCATATATTTTAATTTAAAATTAGCATGTTATTTACTATGCAATTCTGATTAAAATAACCTTCAGTAATTTTTTTCATTGTTTTAATACAACTAATATGCTGCATAGAGAGCTTTTATTTGTGTATAATAGTACCACACCTTCCTCTGTAGGCTGTACATCTCTGTAGCGTAATGGTGCTCCTCCAGCACGAGACCCAGCTGGAAGTGAAGCCTGGCGTCTCTGGAGTTAAGTCTGATAGCTGATGCATAGTGGACAGCAGCCTGCTCCAGGCTATGCAGAGGAGACTGGCCATCTTCATGGTGCAACAGGTCTCCTGTGGAAATGGGAAAAATAAAACACTGTTTTGTGGTACACATCTGACAGAGAGACCAGAGGATTTGCATATGAGAGAATTTGCATCTATATAGATTATATAGTACTGGCAAACAACATTTTTCATCGCCGCAGGATGACATTACATTTAAGAGTTTTAAAGACCCATTTAAAACCCCCTTCAGTTCAAATGTAAGATCAAACCAAACTTACAATAGACTTCCTATCTACAATTTTACCATAAGTGTGTCTAGTTTAAGTATTTGGTTGAGCTTAAGAACACTGTCTAAATGTGTTTATTAATGTGAGAAGAATAAAATGCTGTTGGCTGTTGTTACCACTAGCAATTTTATTGATCTTACACATATAAACATAGCTTGAAGTATTTAGAGAAACTGATTTAATCAGTACACAGCATGCGTCATGAATATTGGCTTTAGTTTCGAATTTTATTAAGTAATTAAGCCCTTTATAATCCGCTGACTTGAATTTAACTATTTTTGTAATTCTTTGGATTGTATTTGGTGGCATGCTCAAAACGCTGTCAGCAACCAGCAGCAGTGTAAACCTGATGATCGTGTTTTGTTCCAGGAATTATAAAGAATTCAGCACGTATCATGTCACTTAGTAGTACTTAGTAGTAGCAATAATAAAATTCATATGGAAGTAAATCTTAGTACAGCAATTTTGACTCTCCAATTTAATACATTTCATTCCAACTGTATTGAGTATCAGAAAAATAAAAAAAACTTGGATAAGGTATTGTGTGCTTTGTGAAGTGAGCTCATTTTGAACAGTTTATTAAAGGACAGTTTCATCCAAGCATGAATACTTCACAGCACAATGCATAATGAAAACTAAACAGACTCTCCCATCTAGCTGCCTTCTCTTTACCGAGTACTGGATGCGCCTTTTGCATGAAATATTGAAAGAGAGTATCTTCCCTTGGCAAGTGCGTCCTTTTTCTGTCCAAGTGCACTGATGTCAAGCTTTTAATTGGTTATATTCCCTGGTACATTACATAATCCAACAAGCAGACCCATTCAGCATTTGCTGTTTTATAACTGATATATGCTACATAGCAGAAAAGTCATTTTAGCTGATGAAATTTTTGAGTCTGACAGAAGCATTGAGCTAATGTTAATGTGCAACAAACAGTGTCTTAAAAATGAAAACGTTTCACCAGGCCACATGAAAAATGAAAGGTCAAAAATCAACACTTTTTACTAACAACCCTCATGACACTCATTCTCATTTTGATACTTTTCAGTCACAAAAAAATTAGCAAGGCAAAGATAGCTGAGAAAACATGAGCACAAACTTGAGTGTGAGTGTCTGGCATGTCAAATAAAAGAGAACGCTTCAGAAGTAGCCACTTAGCAGCCTGTTTTCATGTATTTTTTATTAGCTTTAAGCTGAGCTGTGTTGTCAAGGTAAGGCAAGGAAAAAGTCCCTTTGCTCCAGAGTATTTTTAAATAATCAGTAAATAGCCTGTTTAAAAATAAAGGCAACTACAGACATTCGGCATTAGGGCAGATGGAAATTTGGACAGACTAGTCAGCACTTTATAAAAAGTAACAGGTGAAAAAATGCATTTGGTTTTTTTTTCTGACTTTCTAGTTTGTATTATAATAGCTTTACACTCTTGTCTGACCCACATTTTGTTTTGGATCACCATCTTACAATGCAGCATAATAATTCACAAAGTGTTAAAATGTAGGCGTGAAAGTGCTACATGCCTGGCTTTGGCAGATGTTGCCTGTAGAGTTTCAGGTGCTCCTGGGCCAAAGCACACAACTTGTCAACACTGTCTTCTGCTGCTGTCATTTGTAGTCTTTTCTCCCGGTTACGAATCTGTAGTAGAAAATAGACCAAGCAGGAAAGCTTAAACAGATACAGTAGGAGTAGTGATATGAGCCATATTATAACTTATACTTTTCATTTGATTAAGTGGGTAAACTATAAAGGTCCTCGATTTCCCACATTCACTACAAGATAGAACTATGGCAATAAGTAATTTTAGGTTTTTAGGTTTGCTGTGTATCATCAACATCAGTCAGAATATTAACTAACTGGACACTGAAAGGAATATCCAGTACAGCTTATTACCTCACAGGTGTGTTTGGTCTCTGTCTCCAGACATTTGGCTGATTCAAAGTGCTTCTTATACCAATCTGTCTCTGTTACATCCTAAAAGAAATAGTATCCTGATTATATCACAAATAAAGATTTTATAAAGTGCCTTTACCAGGTTCCATTGATAAAGCTTCGAACTGGACTGACAAGGTGGCTGTGCTGAATATACAGAACTGGGTTTGTCATTCTAGCAATGGTAAAATAACAATTACTGAAATGTAAAAATTATACATGGTTAATAAAAACTACTATTTTATTGACTCGTTCACCATAAACGTGGTCATTATTTTTACTATGGAATTCAAACTTGCGTTTACTCACAGTTAAATGGAGCACTGTCTTGTAAATAAAGGATAAACAGTGTCAAAGTCAGCGATTCTGGCAATGGAGGTTACTGCTTAATCTTTTACACTGACCTTTGCATCTAGGTCCCCAGTGGGTTTATGTAAACAGTCCAGAATGTGTGACCCAAGCTCAGACAGTTTCATCGTAGTGTCACACCCTTTGTTTAAAAGGGGAAAAAAGCTCATTAGAGGTGGACCGGGATGGATTTAGCTGTCAGGTTATTTAACAAATCTGTAGAATTGCTCCCCATGCAACCTCCCCCTAGGCAATGTGTCCAAACTAGCAATTAGTTGACTCGATGAAAGCATGCTCCTGCACTCTCGATATTTTACCTGCATCTTTATTCAAAAATGTCTTTCAGTCCATCTGTCCCTTCGGGTGCAAAAGGCTTGATAGGCTGAGATACTGGGCGGGTGTTTCTGGGTCTTTTTGTTATGGTCGTATCTTTCTAATCGATCTTTGTCTGTGGCTGCTTCTAAACACGTTTTCTTCTACTTCTCTTCATCACAGTTTGCTTCAAAGTTCTGTTAAGGGGCATTTATAAAGCATATTAAGGTTGAAATGTTGTATATAAATAAAACTGCCATTTGCAATTTAAGGACATTTTCCTTCACTGCTATGAGAATGACAGATGATCAGTTATGTATGTCTTTTAAGCCATATTGTGATATTTATCTTGGAAGATGCTATATAAATACAATTTTACTTTATTTGTACTTTTACCTAAATTAAACAATTTAAGAGAAGCCTTGATTATTTAGAAATACACACCTGAGTAAGCAAGCCAGATCTTCTGAACATAAAGGCCTGATATAAAATCCAGCCTTTGTCCCATGACAGTTAGTGGCACAAGGTTTTAGTTAAGTAATAATACCCCCTGTCATTAGAGTAACATGATCGTTGTCTACAGTATTACATCATGTTACATGATAGTATAGCTTGTGTAATCACTTCTGCTAAGAGGTAAGATACCTGTCAACAATGTAGCTGTAAGCATTTTCTATAGGTGTGGAAATAATGAAGTAACTCAAAGAATCCATATTAGGGCAGTGGCTTCATTTGTTATTCATTGATGTGACATTCATTGTACTAGAAGTTCAGGAATCTACTAGCTCTCTTTAAGAACAACACAACCTCCTCCTATCTGAACATCCAGAATAAGAACATCCACTCTTGCCAGTAGCTTTAAACTAATATGTTTGAAATGCTTCACCTCTGTGAAAAAAGAAACACTTGACCAAGGCAGCTGACATCTTCTTGTCAAGGTCCAGTTCAATAACCTTCCAGCCGTCTCCAAGAGGACAGTCACTAAGTGGGTCAACTTTTGACCTTCGGGCAAGCATCTCAATATAAGGCCTTGAGAAGATGCTCTTTGGTTCACTACAATTTAGCAAAATAACAAATGTGTGAAAGGTGATTTGCTAAATATTATACTATTTTTTTATATAAAGGAAACACATCATTCATTTGCAAATTAATATTCAGCATGAACCAAAGGATAAGTAATGGATGTGACTATTGGCGAATATGTTTTGCAATATGTGTGAGTTGTTTCAAGACTTACCTGTGATTGATAGACAAAGGCCTGTAGAAAGCACTTAGCGATACTGGGCATTCATACTCCAGCTGCTGCTTCACATCAGTGAAAGTCACAGGCACAGGAAGCAGCTCTCGAGTCACCAACACTTTGTACACCTGAAAAGGTGAGAAGGTCATTAGGTATATAAAGCTAACTACTCCCTTACTGACAAAAGGTTACCACAGATAAATGTATGGGTACAAAGCAGATGGATCCACTCATGTGCAGGAGTTATTAGGATGTACTAGCAGAGGATGTACTTCCTGAGGCAGCTGAAGAAATTCAACCTGCCAACACGGACGATGATGCAATTCTACATCGCAATCATCGAGTCCATCCTCACCTCCTCCATCACCGTGTGGTACGCTGGAGCCACTATCAGGGACAAACAGAGACTGCAGCGTGTTGTGCGCTCTGCTGAGAAGGTGATTGGCTGCAGACTCCCATCTCTGCAGGACCTGTACACCTCCAGGACACTGAGGCGTGCAGCTCGGATCTCAGCTGACCCTTCTCACCCTGGACACAGTCTGTTTGACCTGCTACCCTCAGGCAGGAGGCTCCGGTCCATTCGCACCAGAACCTCTCGCCATAAGAACAGTTTCTTCCCCTCTGCTGTTGGTCACATGAACAATAACCGTATGACTGTTCCCACCACTAGCTCATGACCCTACGCTGTGTTCACTGCATGATTCCATGTTTTGGCACTGATCACCACCTGCACAAAAACCAAAGAAAGAAACAAAAAAAGCAACATTTTACAACTTCTTTCTACGTAGCACTTTTAATTCTTATTCTCATGTATATATCTCATGTATATCTCATGCATATATCTTTCTACGTAGCACTTTTAATTCTTATTCTTACTTTTATTTTTTCATGTCTATTTAAGCGCAATTTATGACAGCATGTTTGCACTGAAGCACCGCAGCAATTTCCTAATGTTGTAAACCTGCTCAACATTTGGCAATAAAACTCTTTCTGATTCTGATTCTGATTCTGATTAGGGCTCCAACAGAGACCTTTAAAAAGACTCAAATTCCTAATAAGTTTCATTACACAGAAGCAAAAGCTATGCTAAAAGCTTATGAAGTTTAAAAATTAAGAAAACTATATGTTATCAGGTGGATAATGATGAGTTTCAAAGCATTTCAAAGCTAGGATGCATATATAAAGTTTGACCACTAGCCATGTCTTATTATACCTGTGAAACACTGCCATCTGGTGAACAGACTGAAATCTCCACCACTGTGTCTCCAAAATTCAGAGGGACTGGTTCCGAGCTGCTCACCCCATTTACTGTAACTTTAATGCGTCTGTCAGGCACCTCAGGAAGGAGTGTCACTGAATTACAACAAAAGGGAACAGTATCTGGAGGCAAAAACCCCCAGAAAAGCACATAACAATTTATTTTGTAAACTGAGAAATACTGCAAACCTTTTATGTCTCTGCATTTTTAAATAATATTCACTTACAAAGTAGCATATTTATACATACATTTACATACATGTGTACTGCTGCGGCTGCTTTTGTGTATCAATTGAAATAGAAAACAAAACAAAGAATTATACATTTCACATACAACTTCTTGTTTAACACAGATAGGCTGTACTCACTATTGTATTCAAAAACGTTGGAGCAAAACGCGGGGTGAAGTGAAATATCTCCTTCCAAAGCCAGGTTACTGAGCTCTGCGATCTTTGGTGATTTCCACACTGTATTTCTTTATGGTGCCATCCTCAGCTACCACCTCGATTCCTACTCTGTTCAACCCATCTTTCAGTGTAATCGTGTTAGACCTATCACCAAAGAGCTGAAATAGACATCACAAGGCTAAATTAGATGCGAAAGAGACTTGAATTGAGAAATAGAAGGCATAAAGCTTGCTCACAATACTATATGAAGCCCCACAATCGCTTGTCATCACGTCCAGTGTCACTTCGTTGACGCTGCTCTCCACAGTCACTTTGTAGTCTGTGACTTCAGGTGTGAACGATGGACGGAGCTTCCCAGCAGAAACACAGAGCTTCTCTAAATCACAGTTATCCATGATGACTCGGGCGTCTTCTTTATAGCTTGCTTGGGTTGAGCTACAACAGTCCCAAAACACAGCACTTAAACTGCCGTCCCATCCCAGCGCGCTCAGTTTTATTTACCACACTGACGCCCCACGTTACCACAGTAACATGACCACTTCTGTTGTATTTAGATATTAAGTTACTACTACATATGAGTATTTTAAATACATTTGGGCATTTAATAGGAATGAAAACAACAGCTGATACTTAAATAAGTTTTTCGTTTAGACCCTTTTTTTAAAAATTGTGCCATAAGTCAATAATAAGGAGCGTCGATTTAGAGAATACACACGGTTACACAAAAACGGATATTGTTATTAAACAAAATATAGAAAACTGCAAATAAAATTGTTATCACGCTGAAAAATTTTTTTTAGCTAACGATAACTAGCTGTTCCACTCATCCCAACGGCAGGCGGCAGTAGAGGAGCGAAGAGGAAAACGAAGACGACTAGGTCACAGTTTTAACGTCATTTCCTGTCGGCTAAAGCGTGTTGTCTGCTAACAGGGTAAATATGTGATTTTGTTTTGTTAGATTTAATTTACAGTGATCCCGTTTTGCTATTAAATCAGTAATTAGTAACTTACATCTATCCCTTTTGTCACTTTCCTCAGCTTATCTAAACGTTAGTTTGGTTTCCTGTTAGCATTGTATGCTAGCTCTCTCCCTGGACATATTGCTATTGTTTTTCTGTTCTTCTAATGAAAAATAGTCCTATAGGAAAGTTACACGACGTTGTAATTATTCAATTATTTTACAGAAATATGGCCGCAGAGGACTACCCTCACGAGATAGATGAACAGCTCACGGGCTTCGACTCGTCAGTGACTTCAGTTAAAACCATCTTGGAGCAGTTGATGTCGATGCCTAGAAATGACCTGCTGCAAAAGGTAGGCCTAATACTATTATACACATCGGGTACTGTGGTCTTTTTGTTGGCTTAGATTTGTTCTTGTGCGTACCTACTATCTGTATACACTCGTGCACTCACCGGCCACTTTGTTAGAAACACATGGTCAGATACTTGGTAACAGATTATTTAATCAGAATCAGAATCAGAATCAGAATGGGTTTATTGCCAGATGTTGAGGTTTACAACATTAGGAATGTGCCAATAGCTCAATCAATTTAGGAACGTGAACATGGTCAAGAAAAACAACTGAGATGGGGATGAAACATGGTCTTAGTATTTCAGAAAATTGCGGATCTTCTGGGATTTTCCATCACAATCATTTCTATGGTTTACATACAATGGTCTAAAAAAGAGAAAATATCCAGTGATTGTCTGTTCTCTGGGTGAAAATGTCATGTTAATGCCAGATGTTAGAGGAGAATGGCCAGACTGCCACAGGCTCATAAGAAGACAACAGTAAGGGTATGCAGAAGAGCATCTCTGAACACACAACACATTGAACATGGCAGCTGATGGGTGACAGCAACAGAAGACAACAACAGAAGTGCCGGCCTACTTAAGTATTGTTGCTGACCATGTCTTTTCCTTTATGACCTCAGTGTATGCATCGTCTGATAGCTGCTTCCAGCAGTGTAACACTCCATGTCCGTAAATCATCTCAAACTGGTTTCTTGCCATGACTATTAGTTCACTGTACTCAGATGACCTCCATCGTCACCAGATCTCAGTGAAACAGATTGTCTTTGGGATGTGGTGGAACAGGAGATTCACCTCATGGATGTACAGCTGACATAGCGGCACCAGCTGTGTGATGCTATCATATCAATATGGACCAGAACTCTGAGCAATGTTTCCACCTCCCTGTTAAATCTATGCTATGAAGAATTAAGGCACTTCTGGGGGCAAAGGATGTCAAAACCCAATGCTAGGAAGATGTACCTAATAAAGTGGCTAGTGTGTTTATATTTTCTTTTATAGAGCAAAATTTTATTCAGTGAAACAATACTGCATTGAATATGTTACAAATACATTTAATGAAAAAAGTGATACTAATCTGTCGTATGCAGGAGGCTATAAATAAAATACAATTTGGTTCATTAACAGTTGGATCCTCTGGATCAAGCCAAGCTGGATCTGATGTCTGCCTACACCCTTAATTCATTATTCTGGAGTGAGTTTTTTCCCTATTTTGTCTAATCTTTATATCTTGTTGAATATAGATAAATTTAGCGAAAGCATACTGAAGAGACAAATACATTACAACTTTTCCATACATGGATGTCATTTTGTGTGGAAAGTGTGGACATGTGGCTTTATTTTTTATCTTACTCAGTGTACTTGGTAACACAAGGGATAAATCCCAGAGAACATGGAATCAAACAGGAATTGGTATGTGCCATCTATCTCTGACTTATTATTTGCTCACATGGATTCATATGTATTGTCTAATTCCTCAGTAACCATCCTGTTGTTTCAGGAGCGAATAAGGACATATATGAACAGAGTGAAAGAGATCACAGAGAAGAAAAAAGCTGCCCGTCTGGATAAGGGAGCTGCTGCACGCTTCGTCCGGAGTGCTCTTTATGATCCTGATGATAAGGATTCTAAAAAAAAAGCAGCAAGCACATCTTCAGAAACTCCTCCATCAAAGCGTTCAAAGCAGAAATGAAATAAAGAAGAAGCTGCAGAGTATGTCAAAGTGCAAAAGATCACCACCTTTAAGGGTGATGAACACTGGGGTAAAACATTTTGGTCATAAGCCACATTTGAAGGCTAAGGTTGTCTGATCAACAATTACACAAGACAGCTAAACAGAACAATCCATCATCAGGATCATAGCTTGGAGTCGTGTAAATTTTCATGGTTGACCCGCAGCAGTCTGCAAATGTGTTTGACAAGCAAAAGACTGTAGTTGCTACGTTTGACACGTCGTCTCAGGGCAGTCTCACATACTTTTGGATCTTGATGCTAACAGCTGCTCTAGGTTTGAAACATGTTGTAATGTTCTTGTAATGTTGCGCTGGTCTAAATCTTTGTATTTTGAAAGTGATTCTAGGAATCAAAGTTTCATTTTTATTTTTTTTTTAAACAAATGCAATGTTTTGAACATCATCAAGAAAATGGTTTTGTGAGTATAATGCCTTTAGCATAAAAATATTCACCAAAAATACAGTGTTTAAATTATTTTCTTTTATACAGTTTATTGTCAGCATGGTGCTGAAATGTGTAATAGTGTCGCATTTCAGGAAGCAAGTGCAGGATGTGAGCCTTCTGCTCAGCTGTCTGTTTCCTCTGGTCGATCTGAGAGAGCATGGTGGTTATATAAATTGACCGTATGATACACTGCTGATCTATCTAAGGCAGTGGTCGGCAATTAATTTTCCTAAAGGGCCACATGAGAAGCTAGGATTATTGTTGAGGGCCGCACCATTGAGCTTACAGAAAGCTAAAATTAATACTGAGCAGAATTGAGTTCATCTTAATATTAATTTTCTCTTTTTGAAGGCTTATTGTTGTTTTTGTTTCTTGATAGTCTTCCTCAATAGTCCTTCTTTTAAGATGAGATAAGATAAACCTTTATTAGTCCCAAATTTGTTGTGTCACAGCAGAAAGTGGACAGTTCAAAGTTACAGCAGCAAAAATAATGAAATAGAATGAGATAAAAGAATAACATGCTATATAAAATAGAATAAAATACTATGTTGTCAAAAAAAATTACACTTATTGGTATTGCGTGTGTGTCTGCACGTGTTTGGTCAACTCAATGTTTGGTCTCTGTTGTGGAGTCTGACAGCCGATGGAAGGAAAGACCTGCAAAATCTGTCTGTCCCACATCATGGGTACCGCAGTCTGCCACTGAAGGAACTGCTCAGTGCTGTCACAGTCTCCTGCATGGGGTGGGAGATTGCATCCAACAGGGATGACAGCTTAGCCACCATTCTCCTGTCACTCACCACCTCCACTGGGTCCAGAGGGCATCCTAGAACAGAGCTGGCCCTCCGGATCAGCCTGTTCAGTCTCTTTCTGTCCCCAGCAGACCACACCGTGAAATATGGCTGAGGCTACCACAGAGTCATAGAAGGTCTTCAGGAGTGGGCCCTTGACTCCAAAAGACCTGAGCTTCTACAGCAGATACAGCCTGCTCTGCCCTTTCCTGTACAGGGCATTTGAGTTGTGAGTCCAATCCAGTTTATTGTTCTGATGAACACCATTCAAAAAGCTTCTTCAGTTCTAAAAGCTGATCGGTAGTATATAACCTCTACTGTTGTTCTAATGAAGGTGGTTTCAACATGCCTGTGACTCACAAGTACGTCCAGATTGTTCAACTGCCCTCGACTCCCATTCACTTTAGATCAGTGGTCCCCAGCCCCCGGCCCAGTCTGTGAGTCGTTTGGTAACAGGCCGCAAGAGTTGAGGCTCAGGTGTGAAATTTGTGGTTTTCAGAGTTTTTACTGTTATTTTTTTAATCGTTTTCATCCTTAACTCCGTTTCCCTGGGTCTTTTCCCGTGTGTTATGAATAAATCCCCCTTTTTTTTTTTTTTTGTACCGGTACTGGTTTTATTTTGTTGTATTTATCTGTGATATCTTAAAGGCCGGTCTGTGAAAATATTGTTGGACATAAACTGGTCCGTTAAGCACAAAAGGTTGGGGATCGCTGCTTTAGATGACTGTGACCCAGGTGAATGAGAATCTATACAGACAATCCAAACATCTCAACAGTAAGTAGTGAAAAAGTCAATAAAACCAGCAATTTATATTACAGAACCATGCAACAAAGCAATAATTAAGCCAGTCTTTACAGGCAGAATATCACATGTAACCCAAACTGATTTCCTTCTGACGAAAAATACAGTTTTTACTTTCATTTAAAAACTTTCAGCACTAATAATGAGAGTTAAAAACATGCAAATATTTTTAAAATTCATTTCTTGAATGAAACACTTTTAACACTGACATACTAAAAACCCATATGTTTGTGTTTCACCTTCTTGGTCAAAGTAAACAATACTGTAGAGCTCATTTCATTAGAATAATAGGACAAAAAAAGGGTGAAACTGCATTGTACTAAATAACAATCAAGCAGAGGAATATTTAATTCACGATAGCAACTTGTATCGGCCCTCACGTCGGTCAAACTGGTGACCTTTTGATTACAAAGTGGCCTTTGTAACCATGGCAAACAGTGTTGTAGTTGGATGGCTGCATGGTATAAGCATAGGCTGTAATGAGACTCCCCCTTATAAAAACCAATGTCACATTTGATAAAGGCACCCATATAGCTTCCTTTTTCTAATTCCCTCTGGACAGCCGAGATCTTAATCTTAATGTACCCTCGAGTCACTGCATCCCTCTAATCAAGCTCAGGAAACAGCGAGGCAGTGAGTTAGATTCTAAGGAATGTATCATTTCATTCTTTTCATCATCTTTCCTTTTCTCATCCTCCCTACAGCAGCGTCCAAAAATGACATTTGTTTAGCCAAAGCCTCCTACTCCATTTTTTTTAAAGTTTTTCCACCAAGTTGTTGTTTCAAACTCTGTTCAAAGACATGTGTCAAACTTTGCCTGATGAACAGCCCCGTCTGCATATTGGAAAAATATGGATTTTTCTGCTTTTTCCCCTCTCTGTTATGTTCGCCTTCAAATGCCCTCTTCCACACATGTGCTGAGTATAAAGGAGTTAGGTCACAGTGCGAGCAAATTTGAACAAACAAACTCTCATGTTGAAATTGTGAGCCCTAACTCGTTCCAAACCCTGATTTGTCCCGCGGTTGTTTATTTATGCTGTTTGTGAGCAGCTTGCGGTGAGGAAGTTTATATTACGTGGAGTGAAAGGCATCAGACCAAATGACCTCTTCAGGCAAGATGGCGTTAGAGGCAGCCTTTGTTGCAAACACTGTCTCCTAAAAGGATGGAGTCTGCTGACAAAAGACTGTGTTAACCTGCTTTAAATCACAGAGTTTGAGCTGGATTGTCAGTTACAAGATGTTATAAATAGGCTACACTATGATTACAGTGCTGAAATCCAGAAGCCTCAAATAATGTCTATGTAATCACTAGCCAGACTTTTTATTGCATTGCCTCTAATATCCTGGAATTTATCATTTGTGTCTCATCAGATACATTCGGGGTGTCTTATCTATTCTTTAGAGAAGTCATAAGTTTTTCCTGGGGCACAAGAGAAAATGTATTTCTTCACTTTCACCTCTCTTTTCTTGTATTTGGTGCTTTTCAGCCCAGTATAAAGTACTCATATTTTGAGAAAGGGAATGTTAAAAAAATGAGGAAGAAGTGAACATTGTTTTGGTCATGTGTTCTAGTTCGAGAATGGAAAGTCGGGAAGATTTTTTTTTCTTTTTTTTTGCCTTTAAAGCACCACGCTGCAGATAAACAATGAAAAGCACTGACAAAATGAGATCCAGAGTTTATTCTTGACCTAAAATCATCTTACCACAAGGTCCAATTTAGTAGCTGTTCTGGAGCTTTCAATCACATCGCATTTTCTTTATCCGAAGAAGGGCTTGCTGTCCGCGTTAAATGCTGAGATTCAAATTTACAATTGGGATGATATATACAGAGTATGTTTTTAGTAATTTGAATTGGAGGTTAAATTGTATGTGCATGCATGCCAAAAAAAAAGAATCAGTCTCAGATGGGCACAGGTGCCTGATTGAAAACCAAAAGGGTTTGTTTAAAAATGCTATAATTCACAAAAACACAATTATGTTGCATTTCATAAGGCTGAATGTGAAAACCTTTAAAATCCCAAAGTGCATCACCTACACAGACCTGGAAAGTCATTTCATTGCAGCCTGTGTTGCAGAGAATGATGGGGCATATAAGCCCACTAGGACAAGCTTTCTCTGGAATAGCTGGGTGAAATGTCAGTGAATGTGAGAGAAGGATTGCATCTATTGCCACTTTATTCCATCTGACACACCACAAATTCCATCCAGTCATTTGTGCCACTTTCTGTTCACCTCAGACCTGATGACAGAGCCGCTGATTAATCGTGATAACAATGTTTTTGTTTTAGCTAGCCCCCCAACACAGAGACAAATTGCTTTTTTTCAAGTGTCAGAAGGTGAGACAGTTCAGACCACCAAACTGTCCAGCAGAGAGTGGGGTCAGTTCCTTCTATTCTATTTCTTTAAGTTCTGTTAATCCTCTCTACTGCTGAAATAACCAAAAAATAATTCATTTCCCTTTAAAAGCTAATAACACGCTTCTGGTCAGAACACCTACTGAACTTGTGAACTTGCTATTTCCTTACCTAATGTTTCCATCTAAACTCAATATATTTCATTTGTCATTAGAAACTATAGTACAGTTTTGTGGAGAAGCATTAATAGGCAAACTGTCAATGCTAAATCTGGTTTCCATTCATTTCTCTTGAATTTTTCGAAATGTGACACAAAAACAGCAGTAGTACTTGGACAATTTCATCAAGGACGCAAATTCATGATTTACCTTTCTTCACTTCTTTGTGTCTATCTACACTTTCCTTCTCTGTACATCCCAGCGGGATTTAGCCATATGATACTGTGACGCCATAGAAACCAAGGCCTTGAAATCCTCTCGCTAAACACATCACATCACCATCACACTTCATTGTGTTTCCATCCTTAAAATGACGTTACTCCTGCCAATGAAGAGAAAAAACTCTCCCCAGAAATACCCCTCATTTACTGAGTTGGGGTTGGCCTGTCATCTGTCAGGTTAAAATGAACTATTAGGTTTTCTTTGTGAGTAAATGTTGTCTTTTCTCCCAAACCAAGTCAAAGTGGCATCTGTGATTGTACTGAGAAGTTCCAACGTTTGAATGTTTCTAAATGTGAAATAGGAAATTGCTTTCAATGACCTTTTAATAGATAAATAAAGTTTTGAAAATGAAACAGTCTTATTAAACTGGGCTTATTTATTGTCTTTTTCACATGTGCAGACCAGGCTTAAGATGAAGTCAGTGTGCTGCAGACTCTGTGGCCATTTGAAGACCTCATCTATTACTGTGTCCCAATGTTTACCTCTGGCATGGACCTCTTTTTAGGAGGCGGAATGTATCACCCCATATGGCTGCAATGTGAAATCGGGGTTTTTCCCCTTTAAACCATGGCCTTCCGATGCATAAAGCCTCAGGATAACCGTCCAGCCATCAAAGAGCTGAACGCG